GAGAGAGAGAGGCGGAAGTGGTTCGCCACGGACGAGTTGATTCTGGGTTCGAGATCCTTGGAATCATCGTCGGCTGAGAATCATCAGGCTAATGTCCCTTTCTATCGATGTAAATTAACTTTATTCTCGATTTAACTTATTTTTTTACCTTCTTCTTCTCTAAGAATTAAAGAAAAAGATAAAGAGTAAATTAAGTTGAGATCATAAAGTTAACTGATAAAAACGGAGATATTCCTGTTTTCGGGTCCTCCGTAACTTTCGAAGACTTTCGAAGAGCTTCGGTTTAAATTGTGAATGCTATAATTAACTTATATTGTTGTTTCAGTTCTATCAATATATTTATTAGCTTTAATCTCAGTCTAACTTTTTTCTCTAAATTTCTTGGAGTGAAATTTCACTCCAAAAGAATGGAAATGTCATTATTGAAAAAAGTGAAAATATTTGCACTCTTGAATAAAAATGGCAAATTTTTACTCTGGAATGAGATTTTTACTCTTTTGGTATGCGATTTACTCCAAAGCACAAAGGAAAGAAATCTCATTCTTCTTTGGAAAGAAATCTTACTCCAAAAGAGTGAAAATTCAAGAGAGCAAAATATTTTCATTTTTTTCAATAATGACAACAGTTAAATTCTTTTAGAGTGAGATTTCACTTCAAATTTAGAGAAATTTAGAGAAATTTAGAGAGTTCTTCTTATCCTCTTCTAATTCTAAAGATTAGAAAAGGATAAAAAAATAAACCGAAATTAAAGTTAACATTTGTAAAAATGAACCTGAAGCCGAAGAAATTAAATCATTTGACCCTCGATCGAACTGTGATTACTTTAATTATTGATTTGTGTTGTTAATTATCGAGTAATGTGTTAACATGGACAGAATCATTCGTTATTCGACGGGAAACGAAGAGATTCAATCAGAGACAACGAGATTGTATTAAGTCAGATATACATATCTGAACGAATGAACATCGAATGAAGACCGAAAGTTTATTGTTATTTGTTGTATAAATGTTGCACAAGTTTAATTGCTGTACATAAGACGAACAACCGAAACTGATCGAACGCTAATATTCGATGCAATTAAGAAAAGGAATAAATTGTTTACAAATACAAACATGAATCCGAATATTCGCGTTTGCTGTGTCTTGTTCGTTGCGTCTTCGTTTGTCAAGTGTATACGAGCTTTAATTTCGCGAGCAGCTCCATCCGTCGGTTGATTGTCATCAAAATAGTTCCAAAATAATATAATAGCTCCAAAATGAGTATTAAAAGTTACTTTTCGCGCGATTAATTATTATTCATTTTAATATCATTTTTGACGTTAGCATAATCTGTTGTCCTGCTTGGAAAGTTTTTCTCTTTTTCTTTTAATCTTGCAACGCGAAATCCAGACAGCACACAATATTTACAAAATATTTACAAAATATTTATAAAGCTTTATAAGGCTTATTTTAAATATTTTTGATGGGCTTAAATTGCATAGAATAAACATTTATTATAAATATTATGAAATATTTATTGTAAATCTTGTAGTAAATGCTATGAAAAAATTTTAATAAGACATTATAATTCAAATAAGAAATACTTAACAGAAATATTTATTTATATTTACCATAAATATTACATTAAATACAATATTTAATGTATCTTCTAATAATATTTCAAATAAAGCTTTATATAAAATATGTGTAAAATATTTATATAACATTTTTCAAAAAATGAATAATAAATATTTATCATAAATATTCTGTGCTGGGAAAGACACACTGAGAAAAAGTTGTTGATTTTAAAAAGCATTAATTGATTCAACTATAAATGCGGCGATCAGAGATTGTGAAGAAAATATTTGTTAATTCAAACAAATAATGTATTTTAAATATAATAATTATTAAATAATTATATAATAATTATTTTAAATATAATAAATAT